CGTTTGTGCGCTTGGTGACGCAGCGGTGACCGTTTGTGCGCTTGGTGACGCAGCGGTGACCGTGTCCCCCTGATTTGTGCGCTTGGTGATGGTGCAGTGATGTTTCTCTCGTTTGTTCTGACTCCGTCTGTGTTTATTTGTCCAATACTCTTCCACTGGAAAGAAGCACAGGAAGGGACTCAGAGGTGCTGTTGCCTCTTCCCAGATCCCTGGGCACAAGTTTCTCCTCTCTCCTCCCAGGGCACGGCCAGTGCAGCCCTCATGCCCGCCTCAGGTCCGCCCTCAGTTCCCTGCTCGTGCTCACAGATGCTACTGAGGTCACCAGGCCTGAGAGCAGCAGCATCACTGGGCTCTGAGAGCAGCAGCAGCATCACTGGGCACATCTTAGAAGTGCAGTTCTCAGGCCCTCCCTGGTCCCGCTGCATCAGAAACTCTGGGGCTGAACCCAGGAATCAGGGGCTTCAGAAGCTCTGGGTAAAACTGACGCACACGCAGGCTTCAGGCGTCTCCTGGCCCAGGCCACGCGAACAGTTAAGTAGAAGGCGTTTGCCACCCAACAGCGACGGGCACGGGCCGGTTGTTGCCGGGTAGTGAAAATGAAGTGAAGTGAAGTGATCCCGTGACCACTCCCCTAAACAACAGGGCATTCTGTAAAAGCAAAGGGATATTTCAGGTCCTGGGTTTGTTTCCTAATTAATAGCTACTGGCTGCTGCTTTGACAGATAAATCAGTGTCCACACTTGAAGAATTTGAGCATTGCTCCTGTCCTGTTAGTTTTAAGTTGAGGACACTGGGTAAGAATGGAAGGATTAGAATTTTCTGGCACCTAATAGATGCAGGAATAACAGTAGTACCTTATCTTCCTGTAACTATTGAACGTGTACAAACTCATAGGGTCAGCCAGGCTTTGTAATCACTTGGTTGGAGGCAGCAGTGTCTGGGTTTGTGTTGACCATTTTGGTGGTGAGCTCACACGTCTTGTGCATTTGTAGACGCATTACGCAGTCCAGGACACCAAGGGCTTCCATACGGAGGAGGATATCGGCGGACTTCACGCCACCATCGAGTGTGAGCAGCCCCAGCCCGACCTCTACAAGTAAGCAGGGGCTTCAGGTTCTTTAGAAACGGATTTTATGCCCTCAGCGTTGCTCTTGCTTTTCACCCCAGGTAGTCCAGCCATCTGGTGGTTTGGAGAGAATGTAAATCACTGCTTAAAGATTAAGGCTGAGTCAAAAATACATCGCTTATTTATTCTCATAGACTTGTACCACTCAGATTTGTAGCTTTTTATACAAATATTTGAAGTGACTTAATGGAACTATATTTGTGGGGGAAAAAAAGAATAAGTTTTCTTTATTTTGTGAAAGACGTTTGTCAACTGTGGGTTAAGGAAAATCACTGAAGCCATGGGCTGATCCAAACAGAAAGGACGACAAGGAAAGGGGCTGGAGCGGAGCTGGTTTAGCTGCATGTGGCGCAGGCCGGGTGAAGACGCGCCGCTCACAGCGGCCTCTGGAGACAGGAAGGCGGGCAGGCCAGGCGCACACTTCCGGGGGGCTGCTGGACGCATCCAGTCAGTAACAAGGCTTTTCTGTCACCAGGTTTGTGGGCCGCATCAACGTTTACAGTGACCTGAACGACCCCGTGGTGAGGTGAGTGCCTCTGCAGATGCCTTGGCCATGGTCATCGCCCTTGGTGCATTAGAAATGCATTCTTTGACAGACGAGGGTTTCTACGGCAGCTGCTCTAGTGGATTTGGAAGGTGGAGCTCCACTTTCCCATGGGGCCAGGCTCCACTCTTGTCTGTGGTTTGTCTCAGGCACACATCTGTGAATGTTGACACGTTAGTGATGCTCATGAAACAAGTGTTCACCCAAGACTGCCCAGAGGGTCGTCTCACAGGCCGGGAGGCGTCAGGGTCCCATGGAACAGTTTCATAGTGAAGGGCAGAGTACAGCTTCCCTGTGAGAAATGCCCTCTCATGATTCGGGTACTGATTTGTCTTCAGATGTGAAGTTGAAAGACTTCTAATTTTGAGGCCATTTTTGGGAGTCTGTTCATCCACTTGCCATCATTACTGGGGTGCATTACTGGCTCAAGGCCTATGTGAGGCTCACACCTACCTGAGAAGGTGGAATTGGTAACCGGGACAAGGCAGGGGGCAGCTCACAGTCGGCGGCTCTGCCTTCCCGTTCACCAGCGTGGACTCAGGGGCAGTCACACCGCATACCCACGAGGAAACAGCGACCCTCAGACACCTCATCTATGGCCCCGAGGCAGCCTCAGCTGAGAGCCAGCCTGTGCTGAGCCCAGCTCCGGGCAGCGCCCAGCTCCCAGGCCTAGGGATATTTTCTCTGACATTATTTCAAGATCTAGCATCTGTTGCTGATGAAATATTTGAATGTCATAGTTGAGGGAATTGGCTTTCACTAGGTTTTAAAGTCGCGTCTTCTTCATAACCTGCACTTGTTAGGGAAATGATTTTTCTTCCATCGTAAGCACTCTCCGAGTTGTTGATGTCTCCGTAGGTACAGCAGTGAGTGTTAAACAACACGTCTCCCAAACACAGAAACACACTCACTGGGAAACTATTGCAAAGTGAATAGTTCCTGAAATGCACGTCCCTGGGGCTTAGCTCCTTGTAAGTCTCCTGGAGTTACTGTTTTAAGAAAACCATGTGTGCACTTCTTATTCTTAGCATGTGTTTGTCATCATTACCCATCAGCAGGCTCGGAGGTGCTTTTGAGAACTGATAGTGGCCTTGCCTTGGTTTGCCTAAATATATACTGTTCTAAAGGTAAATTCCTTCTTACTTTGGAGAAATAACTTGTATTTCTGTGTGCCATGAGAATTAATTTGTGTTTGAATGAGTAAACAGACTTGGGTTTATTCATATTCCCTATGAGATGAATCTAAAATAGTAAACATTGCAGGTTTTTTATCTTTATAGTTAGACCAAGTTTATTGCTGAGCAACTTGGGATGATAATTGCTAATGTATTTTGCATTTTGATACTAACTCTAGTTTCACTTTTATTTTATTTTATTTTATTTTATTTATTTTATTAGAGAGAGAGTCTCACTCTACTCCAGTCTGTCACCAGTCTGGAGTACAGTGGCACTATCTCAGTTCACTGCAGCCTCCGCCTCCCAGGTTCAAGCAATTCTCCTGCCTCAGCTTCCCGAGTAGCTGGGATTACAGCCGTGTGCCACCACGCCCAACTGATTTTTGTAATTTTTAGTAGAGACGGGGTTTTGCCATGTTGCCCAAGCTAGTCTCAAAACTCCTGGCCTCAGGTGATCCACCCACCTTGGCCTCCCAGAGTACTGGGATTACGGCGTGAGCCACCCACCGTACCTGGCCTAGTTTCACTTTTAAATATTTATGCTATTCAATGGACTTTTAATATTTAGATTATTGAAGATGTTTGTAAATTTGTGATGTGGAGAGTTAAGAATTGCACACCCAAATTCTCAATCCATCCAGAGTGACGTTTCTTCTTCCTTCTGTCCTAACTAGAAGCAAAGTACTTTTCCAAGTAAATTATTTTTAGACTTCCCTGAGTCAGCTTTTTTAAAAAGCTGTTTGTTTTCATAAACACTTGACAGGAATTATTGTAAGTGTGTTGCAAACAGAAGCTGACAATCCTTATCACACAACCAGACAACCCATACGCAGCCTGGGAGCTCCATCTTTAGTGACTGCCAGGCGAGGAGGCGCGTGGAGCCCTCAGCCACAGCCTGGGGCAGACAGCTCTCCCTCTGGGCAGCTCCACTCTGCCTGTCTTCAGCCGGATGCAGCTCTGAGGTCTGTCGACCAAATATGCTCCATGCATTTTACGTTCATAATATTCAGTAGGTTCTTAACTTTCCATGACAGAAGGACAGTAAATACAATGACAAATGGAAAGCAAACTTCAGCAAACACTTTTGACCCTTTACCCTCCGAAGCAATCCTTTGGATGTTGCCAATAGCAAAATTTATAAATTTGAATCTTGCTGCTTATTTCTCCTTTACTACTTAGGAAATGAGAAGAGATTATTTTTCCATCAGCAGGGAACCCTGTTATATCAAGATGTAAGCCCCTGGTGACGGAGACCCCGCTGCTGCTCACCGTGGCTTCAGTGCGCAGAGCGGGGCTTGTTCCTCCATGTGTGAGATTTTTACGTTCTTTGGCTGTTGCTTGTTTTCCCCCAAAGTAGCCATGCATGGACTGTCCCTGATTTATAGGTCCTCCCATTCAGAGGAGCTTTGCAGCATGACTACCAGTGTTTCTAACGGCCAGATAGAGTGTCAGCCTTTGTCTCCAGGAGTAAGACTATGCCACATGGGACTCCCCGAATCTCACTGAGGATGTAATAGAAACGATTGAGGCTAGGCATGGGGATGGCCAACTGTAATCTCAGCACTTTGGGAGGCCAAAGCACGCGGATCACCTGAGCCCAGGAGGTCAAGGCTGCAATGAGCTGTGATCGTGCCCCCAGCCTGGGTGACAGAGTGAGACCCTGTCTCAAAAAAAAAAAAAAAACAAAAGAAAAAGGAAACAGTTGAAGGTTGAGTGACTTTTTTTTTATTTCACATCCACCCCTCTTTAGCCTTTCCAGAATATTCTGGGACCTTCCAGTGCAACTGTTCTCAACCTGAGGCTTGTTAGGAGAGGGCTGCTGGGCCCCACCCCAGGGTTTCAGGTTCTGACAGCTTCGGACGATCTTCCTGACTAGTATGATGTTCCTGACTGGCTCCAGGTGCTGCTGACGGCACTGGTGGGGCCACCGCAGTGTTGCTGAGGCTGTCAGGCGCAGCTTAGTGGGTCTGGGAGGGGCCTGAGGTCCCATGTTCCACAAGCACTGCCAGGACGCCCTTGCCGCTACTCCTGGAGCCATGTGTTCGTCCCCCGCAAGGATAAGACCACATGTGTTCACATGCACCTGGATTGACTTAATCATCTGAATATAAGCAAACCGCCGTGTACACCAATGAGATCTGCTGAGCAAACTAGCAGGTTTCGCGTCTGCATCTTGCCCCCATCCTGCCCGCTTGCCTTCATGTCCGTGTCATTTCTGATCATCGTGTCTTTACAGGCCCTTAGGATCGGAAAACCTGCTACTGAGAGGAGCTACACTGAAGAACACCGAGAAAATCTTTGGTAAATATTTAATTAATTGTTCACCATTGCCTGTAACATTAACGATGCATGAAGCAAAGTTAAAACCCGCCGCGGAACCCTGAGAGCGTTTCTTGGCGCCTTGAGGTGCTGGAGGCTTTCTGGCCGCGCAAGTTCTGTCCCACTGAGATTCGGATCAGTGAATAAGTGCGGTCCTGAAGCAGCAGCATCAGAGATTACGGCCTACGGATTAAGGCCTCTAGTTTTGGATTCAGAAACAGAAAGTTGCATCCCTGAAGGAATTTATGAAATTTAGTTGTGCAGGAGATTTCTTTCATGTCTGCATTTCTTGGCTAGGATCTCCCGTTTCTTGTGGATTATCGTCTGTTTTAGTCGAGGTAACTTTTGTGTGCCCCACTGTCAGAAAATGCTGTGCAGCTGTCCCTCAGCGTCCTTGGGGGACTGGTTCCAGGACGCCTGCAGATGTCAAAATCCATGAATGCCCAAGGCCCCTATTTGCATGTAGCGTACGCATGTCCACCCCTGTAGTTCACATCATCGTAGATTACTTCTAATACCTGGCACGATGTAAATGCTAGGTACGTAGTTACGCTCTACTATTTTTATCATCTGTATTTTGTATCATTGTATTGTTATTTTTATTGGGGATTTTTTTCACATCTTTTCCATCCCCAGTTGGTAGAACCTGCAGATTTAGAACTCGTGGATATGGCGGGCCCGGTGTATATTAAGACGGGAACTCTTGAAAAATGAAGCATAGATTGCTTCCTACGCATGAAGAAAGGTCTTTATCCTAAGGAATCAAGTGCTAGTGTTATGTGACTATGGACACTAGTTTGTGAAATTAAAAATAGGATTCACTTTACCCAAGAATTGGTTTTCCCCGCAGCTGTGTGTAACTCACCATAAGGCAAGACACACTTGTGCCCTGGTCATCACGCTTGCTTTTCCTCCCTGTAGGTGTGGCTATTTACACGGGCATGGAAACCAAGATGGCATTAAATTACCAATCGAAATCCCAGAAGCGGTCTGCCGTGGAAAAGTAAGGCTCCCCGCCCTGTCGCTGGACTCGCGTGATGGAAGTAGCTTCCTCTTGGCCTTATTGGAGGTTCCTTTACCAATATACAGCATCTTAGTAACTGCAGAGCTGACCCTTCAGAGGGACTTTCTTATTTTGCAGTGAGGTGGACGGCCACACCCCTCCTTCCTGCGCTTTCTAACGCCTGGTACCAGGTTCATGGCAGGTCCAGTGTCCAACAGCTCCTCCCACCATTTCATGAAAAACTCCAAATGGGCTTAGTTTTAACTCTCGGATTTGGTCGAAACCGTGCATTCTCTGCTACGGTTTTACGAAGAGCGAACAGAGTCATCTTTTCATTAAAGTCCTGATGATAAATATTTCAGGATGGTAGCTGAATTTGTACTGGAAAAGAAAGGCTTCTTCCTGAGATCTGCTAAAACCTTAGTTAAGGATCTGTGCTTTTCCTGTACTGAGGACACTTCCTTTCAGAGTTATTTACTTTTCCTTCCCCTCCTTTCCTCCCTCCCTCTCTTCCTTCCTCTTTCCTTTCCCTTTCCTTTCCTTCCTTCCTTTACAGTGGTGGTTAGACACTAAGTTTTGAACTAATTTGTTGATGCTTAATGGTAGAAATTGATTTCTGGATGTTCTTTTCAACGACGCAAGTGCAGGCAGTGCAGAAGCATTGTCCACAGTGTGCAGTGTGAATGTGAGAAGCCCTCTCTCTCCTGCTTGTGGCACTTTTCCCCCTCTTGGCTCTTACCTTTGGCCTCTAGGAGTATGTGCCAGGGACCATGGCATGGGCGCAGGTACAGAGGACCCACCGTGATGCGTTGAGGGCGAACGCATCACCGTGCCATTCCTGTTCTGTTTCTTCAAAGTGCAGAGCTCATTTCCTCGGGGACCAGTGATCACCTCTGTCCTTTTGTTTTAGATCGATGAATGCGTTCCTCATCGTGTACCTCTGCATTCTGATCAGCAAAGCCCTGATAAACACTGTGCTGAAATACGTGTGGCAGAGCGAACCCTTTCGGGATGAGCCATGGTATAATCAGAAAACGGAGTCGGAAAGACAGAGGAATCTGGTATGGACAGTCACTGCCCTTGTATGATCCAAGGTGACCTGTGGGCCATTATTACGAAAATGTGGTGCAAGAAAAAAGATGAGAGTGAATTTACTGTAGGCAAAAAGCAGCCTTGATTGATTCAATCTCTGTGATAGATGCATTCAGTGAAATTTAAAGTCTCAGTGGACACCAACTGCTCCTGCCATCTTTGGATCTGGAAAGGTAGAGGTTCCCACAGTGAAATCATCAGGACAGTGCCTTAAATACTTGCACTGTGTCCTTTGTTTAGAGGGTGCTGAGTAAATGCTTGTTAATGATTACGAGATAAATGGCACATATTTGTGGTAAATACTTGGAATAAAGGTCTACTCCCAGTCCAGAGCAGGGCTGTGTGCAAACCCAGACCCTGTCCACTGAGCCTAGAGTGGGGCCGTGTGCAAACCCAGACCCTGTCCACTGAGCCTAGAGCGGGGCCGTGTGCAAA